AGGAGAATGGAGGAGAAGGGACTACGGCGTGGCCATCCCCTCTGGGGGGTGATTTCTCACTTTCTATCTCTCTGTCTCTCTCTGTCTGTCTGGCGAGCACACACGCCCTATAGCAAAAACCTCTGAAAAAAAAAAATTAACTTGGGGGTGGGCAGGTGGCGTAGTTGTTAAGGGCTCTGGACTCCAATATGGCTGACCACTGTTTGAGTCCTAGACCTGAACTAAATGTAAAAGCTAGAACTATAAAATTTATTAAAGAAAATAAAATACAGGGCTGGCTCCTTGACCTCAGGTGGTTAAGGCAGCTAGATCCCACCTGGCTGACCGTGTAGTTTGAATGCTTCAAAATCACACCAGGTGTGTGTGCACATGAGTCCAAGATTCCAGGAGGAGAATGGAGGAGAAGGGATTGCTACACAGCCATTCCCCTCTGGGAGGTGATTTCTCATTTTCCCTCTCACTGTATCTGTGTCTCTCTCTCAAGTGAGCGCATGCCCCTAAGGCCAAAATCTCTTTAAAAAATTAATAATAAAGAAAAACCACAATACATATATTACATGTCCACAAGAATGGCTAATATTAAAGACTTGTATTCCCACCTGTGACAGGAACTGGAGTAGTTGAAACTCTTTTATGTTGAAATGAAAAAAATGGTAAAACCATTTTGAAAACGGATTGGCAGCTTTTTTCTTTTAACATCTTGTTTGAGGTATAACTTACATACCATAAATTCATTACTTTCAAGTGTACAATTCCATGGTTTTGGTATATTCACATAGCTGTGGACCTATCGCTGTGATCTAAATTTAGGACATTTTCATCAACCCCAAAACAAAGCTCACACCCATTAGCAGTCACTCCCCATGTTGCTCCCCTTCCCTAGCCCTAAGCAACCAGTAATCTACTTTCAATCTCTATAGATTTTCCTATTTTGGACATTCCAAATACACAGAACCACACGACACGTGGTCTTCGTGACTGGCTTCTTTTATTTAGCACAATTTTCAAGTAATGTTGTACTGTGTATCAGTGCTTCATTTCTTTCTATGGCTGAATGATATTCCAAAAATGATTCAGACCGATGCTTCAGTATCCCTAAGCTGGGAGTTCTTTGCATTTCAACAATGTCAAGGCTTCCTCTCACCATGCTCCTCCTCTCTGTCCCTAGACAACTCCATAATCCTCCCTAATTAAATGAACTCCAGGTAGCAATCGATAGTGACTGGAGTCACTTTCAGCTGGGCACCAGCCATGAGGGTTTTTCAGTGGGTACTTATCTGGATCTTCTCATAAACACAATCATTTGGCAAGTTCAATCATTTGTCCTGCCTTTACTAAGGATACCTAAGGAGAGTTCTGCTTCTGCCTTTTCTTTATGAAACTAAAGCAAGGATGACACTACTGTAGATGACCATGGCTTTCCTGGTGGAAACTCACTACAAATAAATGTTCTAACCATTTATGGATCTATAACAAGATAGTATTTCACTGAGGTTCGAGGAGAATAGGAAGGTACAGTTGTCCTTCTCAGACCAGGTGGGGCTGCTTTATAAGCCCTGCAGGAAAGCACACAGGGAAAGTGCCCTTTACGGATACACTGTCAAGTCTCAAGGGCGGGTGAGGGTTTCCCATTTTTTTTTTAGTCACTGGCTTGGCACACTGCAGATACTTCTGAACTTCTGCACAAAAGAGAAGAAATATAGGGAATAAGTTGGGGATCCCTTCTCTGTCTTACTGCACTGAGGTCACTCAGAAGCAGAGAATTCTCAGACCAAAGAAGATCCTGAAAGCTTCCTTTAGAGGTAAATATTGGTTCTTTTCAGAACACATTAGCTCCAAGTGGCTGAAACAAGACAAAACAAAAATAAAAACTAAAGAGCAGGAGCGTAATGGTTACACTGCTGGACTCCTACGTAGTTGACCACGGTTTAACTCCGGGACCTAGCGACTTAAAACTCACGCCAGGTGCGTGTGCATCATGCCCAAGATCCCAAGAGAAGAATGGGGGAGAAGGGACTATGGCGTGGCCATCCTTTCTGGGGAGGTGATTTCTTGCTTTCTGTCTCTCTGTTGCTTTCCGATGAGCACATGCGCCCTATAGCAAAAATCTCTCTAAAAAAAAACCATAAACAAACTGAAGAGCTAATAGCAATAGGAACTAGAACAAATAGCAACCTATGACAAGAATCACAGACCGCACTGAGTAAGCCTTGCTCCACCACTGTGCTTAGAGCGACTTCTTATCTAAGATAACCCTCTGTGGCGCAATGGCCTAGTATAATAATTTGGAAACAGTGATCCAAAATTTATGGACACAAACCTCTTAGGCTCTAGAAAGACAGTCTGCCTTTAAAAGGTGTCTACTTCCTTTATGTAGACACCCTACATTTAATACGCAGAAGTATCTTTTTCTCTGTTTTCATCTCCTTTTAACATTTTCCCCTTATCTGAGACAGAGCACACGCATGCACACTTGAGAGTGCAGAGAGATGACACCCTTCGTACAGCCTGCTCTTGCCTTCCCTTCCCTCCCGTCCTCCAGTCAGGCAGACACTGGGACTGGTGCACATGCCTGGCATGTTTCAGGCTGTCCAGGCCAGGGATTGCAACTGTGGTCGCCGTGTGGGATCCGGCTTCACTGGAGTGGTACATTACCACTGCACCATGGAGCCAGCCCTACTTTCATCTCCAATACTTCAGGACCGAATCCAATTTTCAGAACCAATTGAAGCTAGCCAGTTCTCCCAGTTCATCCATACCTTTCAAGCTTGCTACCGAAGGGCTCTCCACTGCCCTGAGATTCATTGATCTGACAGGCTGGCTCTGCCCTTCAGCAGCGTGGACCAGATAATGAACCTCACAGTGGGTGATTAGTGAGCAGCCATCAGTTGGTTAAAGGAGTGGTGACAGTGACTTTCTTTAATTTCCCTGGGCAGTCAACCCCTACCCCTCTGACTTTATTGGGTTGAAGCCCTCGATATCCCTTGTGAAGCTTTTCTTTGCACTAATTATAGACCCAACACATCCAGGTCCTTGCCCTGCACAAGCAGGCATGCAATCACACTAAAAGGCGGACAAGGTAACGGGCGGGGGCATGCTGCACGGACATGTCAGACCTTTTCCTTCTCTGTGCTCGCTGCAAGCAGGGCATTCTGCCCAGCTCTGCCGAGGGGCAGATGTCTCTGTCCTCCCCATCTGAAGTTTCTTTCCTGGAGACACATCACATCTCAAGGAGTGATACAGAGCACAGTGTCACTGGTAATTCACTGGTAATTCCATGTGAGGTTTCTGCCTCACTTATCTATCCCTGCCTATCAGACAGACTCATTTAACAGGAACCCTACTTGTGGGCTATGCACAGCTTAGTTTCTAGCTAGGCAGGTCTTTTTTTTTTCTCCTAAGGTTTTTGCCATAGTGTGCGTGTGCTAGCCAGAGTGACAGAGAAGGAAAGTGAGAAATCATCCCAAGAGGGGATGGCCACAACACAATCACCTCTCCTCCTGGGCTTTTGGGCATCCATGCATGTGCACCTGGCATGATTTTCAAGCTGCCGGATCTGGGACTTGAACCATGGTTGAACATGTGGGAATCCGGTACCTTACCCACCATGCCACCTGGCCTCATTTTTAAGACTGCAATATCCTGGGAACCAGCAGTTAGCGTAATGGCTATGTCGCTGGACTCCCATGTAGTCGACCGCGGTTCACATCCTGGACCTGGTGGCTTAAAACTCACGCCGGGCACGTGTGTGTGCGTGCCCAAGATCCCGAGAGGAGAATGGAGGAGAAGGGATTGCAGCGTGACCATCCCCCCTGGGGGGTGATTTCTCGCTTTCTGTCTCCCTGTCTCTCTCTGTCTTTCTGGCGAGTGCACGCGCCCTATAGCGAAAACCTCTCAAAAAAAAAGAAAAAAAAGACTGCAATATCCTTTGTGCTAGATCATCATGAGAATTCAAAATGATGTTAGGGTAGTTTTTTAAATTTTTAAAAATTTTATTTTTTTATTAAAGAATTATATATCTAGGGGACCAGCAGGTGGCATGGTGGTTAAGGCACTGGACACTGCCACATGACCAACCACAGTTTGAGTCCTGGACTTGGTGGCTTGCTTTCTTGTTTCCCATCTCTCTCTCTGTTTCTCTATGGTCAAATTAAAACATTAAATGAATGAATAAATACAACTAAATAAATAATTCTTCTTCTTTCTTTTTTTTTTTTTTTTTGGAGAGGTTTTTGCTATAGGGCGCGCGCACTCCCCAGAAAGACAGAGAAAAAGAAATCACCCCTCAGGGGGGATGGCCACGCTGCAATCCCTTCTCCTCCATTCTTCTCTCGGGATCTTGGGCACGCACGCACACGTGCCCATCATGAGTTTAAGTCACCAGGTCCAGGACTCAAACCGTGGTCGACTACATGGAAGTCCAGTGACATAGCCATTATGCCAACTGCTGGTCCCATATAAATAATTTTTTTTAAAAAGAATTATATATTTTATTTATTCATTCCAATTTTGCCAGAGAGAGAGAAAAATTTAAAGTGAGAAAGCAAGCTGCCAGGTCTAGGACTCAAACCACAGTCAGCCATCTGGGAGTCCAGTACCTTAACTACCTTGCCACTTGCCCATCCCTAGAGTGGGTGTTTAACAAAAACACTTCCAAAACCACATGTTGTAACAGAGTTAAGAGTTTCTGGCCTCTGATGTTACACAGTGGTAAACCAGGCTTTTCCAAAGTTTCAAGCCACCTTCTTAGGAAGAGATTACAGTAGAAATAAAACAAACTTTCCAAAGATCTACTGAGAGGAAGGAGGTGGTTAAAAACAAAACAAAAACCTAAAAGGGAAGTCCTACCTGAATACTGATCTAAGGTTAAACCAAGAAAGCCAGGACTGCTGTCTCATACGACCTCTCTGCAGGTTGGCACTACAGAGTTCTTACTAGCTCTTCACTGTCCCACCTATAGATTGCCAATGCTCCACAGCTGCCTCAAGACCAGAGCCTGAGGTGACGGTCACTTCAAAATTCATACCTAACTGGAGACGGTGCCGACTGTGGCAGAGATGCTTAGTAAGGTGAGTGTCTCCACCATGCCCTCTGCATACCCAGCATGGCTGTGGGACAGTAACTCTGAGAATCCACTTAAAAACAAACAAATAAACAAACAAACAAATATAGAACTACTACTTTAAAAACAATCAAAATTCACTGTGCTGCCTTTTAGGCTTTGAACCATTCAAATGCATTACCTATTAAAATAAGTACGTAAAACCTTTGTAAGAAGTCACCATGTCCCATGTGTAGAAAAGGTTTTACTTCTCATAGCGACCTTCCTGAGACACTTGGAATAGAGAGACTCTTCTCTCATTTATGAAGTTACTAGACTGCGCCAGGACCCTCCACTTAGGCACTGTGTCCGACCAGCAGGCAGGCTGTCGAGGCCCTGTTCAGTACTGTGTGTCCTTCACGGGATGGCCCTTCCCAGTCTGGGGCCTTCCCCATCCTGCAGGGATGAGCCCTGTTACCTAACGCTCCATGCTTTTCCCTCATCTCCCTATCCCTGGTCTATCTCTTTGGAATATCTGACAGACTCAGGGTGTCATAATGCTCCTGCCAGATGACAGAGAAAAAGCTCAGCTTTGGAGTAAGACAGAGCTAGATTCCCAATTGGACTTTACCACCAAAAGCAGTGTGACCTTGTATGGATTAATGTTAGTGTCCTCATCTATACAATGATGGTCATACCTACCCCAAACAGTCATCAAATTTAAGTAATAACCCACATAAAGGAATTCTACTCAATAACTAATAGTTGTTCCTTTCCTTTTACCTATTTGCATCTTTTCTTTTTTTTTAGAAGTTTCTGCCTTAGGGCACATACATTCATCAGAGAGAGAGAGACAGAGAGAGACAGACAGACAGAAATAGTGAGAGGGAAAGTAAGAAATCAACCTCCCAAAGGGGGATGGCCATGCAGCAATCCCTTCTCCTCCATTCTCTGCCCAGGATCTTAGGCACACCCGTACATGTGCCCAGCATGATTTTCAAGCCATGAGGTCTGGGACTTGAACCACAGTCTACCATGTGGGAGTCCAGCGACATAACCATTACGGCATCTGCTGGCCCCCGCATTTTAAATCCATGTTCTTCCTTCCCTACTTAGTGCTGCTGGTAGCGCGCAGCACCCTCCTGGTCCGTGTAAGGGAGTGGCCATCCCAGCAGCACAGACTCTGGTCCTACGTGGGCCTTCTCAGGATGCCCGCGTAACGTAAAGTGGAAGCTCCTGAGGAGAAGCAGCTCCCAGGAACCCC